GAGCTGCCTTTCCTCCCATGTCTCCTCCCAACTCTCAGCTCTCTTGGGTAATTATTCCCAGCACCCTCAGGTCATGCTGCAGCCTAGATCCAGAAAGAACTATCTGGGTTACAACTCTGGCCAGCGCCTCCTTCCCTCTCCCCAGGGTCCTGGAAGGCTTGCACCTCTCTGCCTCAGGCCCTCCACATCCTTCAAAACTCTCTGCTTCCTTGGCCATAGAAAAGCAACCAAACTAAACTGTGGGATGGCCTCAGTCTGCATGGCGTTGAGATGGTTTAAATACTCATAAGTAGGCTTCTTCCAGGAGGAAACAGTTTGGAGCTGTTTGGAGCCTGTTTCTTCTTCTCCAGGTTTTGAGAGAAATGGTGAAAGAGATTCTTGGGCACTGCTTGTGCCTCACCCAGCTCCCCAGGGCAGGGGACAAGACAGGATTTGGAGTTGAAGTCCTCTCTAGGAACAAAGAGTATGTGTTTGAAGCCCAGCAGTTAAGGCTGAGGTGGTACAGTAAAGGAGTGCCAACCCCACACTGCAGATGGTACACTGTTGCTGCAAGTCCATGGAACCCTCCCTTTGACATTGACATTGTCTTTGTGTTCTGTTTCTTTAGCTAGCTTCTTCCATCCAATGTGGGGGTTTCTGTTTGTCTCACCAGAGCAAGGCATTAGCCATTGGTACTGCTGCCTTCTAATGAGCCAAACGATCGACTTGGTGATGATAAAAATAATAATGAACATATTTACAATAACAGCTAATATTAATGGAGCACTTAATTATATGCTAAGCTAAGGTCTCTGGGTGGCACAAATGGTCACCAAAACGTTGGTGGTTTGAATCTACCTAATGGAGCTGCAGAATAAAGGCCTGGCAATCTGGTTCCATAGGATTAAAAAAACAAGCCAAACTCATTGCCACTGAGTCAGTTTCAACTCATAGCAATCCCATATGTTACAGAGTAGAACTCTTCCTAGGGTTTTCTTGTGTGTAATCTTTATGGAAGCAGTTCACCAGGCCTTTTTTCCATGGAGCCGCTGGATGGGTTTGAACCACCAACCTTTAGGTTAGTAGCCAATTTTGAACTGCTTGCACCACCCAGGCTCCTTTCTGTTAGATTACAGCCATTGAAAACCCCATGGAGCACAGTTCTACTCTGAAACACTTTGGATCACCATGAGATAGAATCGACTCTATGGCAACGGGTTTAGTTTTAGATTTGGTTACTAAATACCAGGCACTCTGCTAAGAAGCACTTTACATTTATTATCTTGTTTATTCCTCACAAAAACCATAGAAGATAGGAAAGCGTTATTATCCCGGTTTTTCAGCTGTTTGGGAACTGAGGCTCAGAGAAGTTAAGTGACTTGCCTGGGTCTTCCTTAGAATTCTAACTGTATTTCCCCCCAGTCATCCAAGCTCAGAAAACCAGCGACAGATTCAAGCCAAGCAGAGATGAGCTGCTCCTTTTTCATTCCCTCCAGAGAAGCTCCTTGCTGGTGTGGAAGTTACTTTGTATAAAGGCATCTATTAGACATTTTCCATTCTCTTTCAATTTCCCATTAGCGGCTTTGCCTTCTTTTCCTGTTAGAAGTCTCTGCTTTGGAAAACCTTCTTCAAGGTGGTGGAGAGAAGGGAATGCATGGTGGGGAGTGGGGAGGAGGGAAGGGGTGATTGTAGTCTCGGCCTTCTGCCTCCACAGCTTTAGGGGAAAGAGAGAAGAGGGAGCTGAGCCATGCAGGAAGCTGCTGATAGGTGGGCCTTCCCTTGCCCTGGTTGAGAGAGCTCCCAACAAAGCCAGTGGCTGGTAGAAAGAGCAGCAGCTTTGACAGCAGGCAGGCCGAGGGCTCCTTCCACCTCTGAGCCTCAGTGAGCTCATCTGTAAAATGAGGAGAATCGTTCTTCCCACAGCCATTTGTTATGAGGATTATATGGGATGGCATCTGTGCCGTGCTGGCACCGAGCACCTCCACCACAGTGGATGCGAATTTTCCTCTTCTGGCCCCCTGGTTCATCACTGGAGGGGAGCACACACTTAGGGCTCTAGGGCCAGTAATGAGGTGATGGGGAGGGGCCTTGACACAGTGGACATGGACTCTTCCCCCACCTCCCCTATATCCGTGCACTCAAAATGTCACTGGGTAGGAGTCTGATGTGGTTATTTTACCTCGTGGCTTTCCTTTTATGCACCACAGTCACGTGCCCAACATGGCCTATGCCCCTGTATACCCTGTTGTCTTGGGCTCTTAGACACTGGGTTTTGGTGCTCAGCGTACCAAATAAAGAGGGGACCTTGCTTTTGAGTGGCCATGGGGAAGACTTGAGGCAGAGAGCAGCTGTTCTTGGTGGACACGGCTGACAACTTCAGCATTGAACTGCGGATTCCTCACAGGTATGGACCTGAGAGAGCCTATAAGCGTGGTACCAAAGAAGGCCGCTTAGAGTAGTCTCTTGGAGAAACTGAGGCACCGAACCAGGAATTGGGATTCTTTACCTTCAGATCTTCCTTTTCCTTCTCTGTACTCTCTATGCCTGCTTGTCCCTAATGGACCAACTCAGCATCCAAGGTCCTGGCTCCAGACAGGCCTGCTGTCATGTCCAATCATAGCAGTAGGCGTGCTCTGGTGTAACGTAACAGCTATAATCACCCAATTTCAGAAACACCGACTCTCTGATTAAAGAACTCTGCCAAAGCTTTTCTTAGATGGGGCGTCGCCATGCAGAGGGGCTCATCCCCAGCTGGCTGGTCCTGAGATGGGCCCCCCTTCAGGCTGGGACTGAAGCCCAGGTTCCTAGCCACAGGGATGGGGACCCGCTTGACGTGGGCCCCAGATAAAGTGTGGCTGTTAGGATAAGGCTCGAAACATCCAGAGTCTCTTTCCTCCAGGTGCATACATAACTTCTCACGGGTCCCTGTTCCGCACTGAGTGCATGCTCACTCCCCACACCCCCCAAGCCCAGCTGTGCTCTGTGTGTGTGTGTGTGTGAGAGAGAGAGAGTGTGTGTGATGGGGTGGGGACGCAGTCCTCAGGAACCCACATCTCTCTGGACCAGTCCCCTCACACGTCAGGCCACCTCTCCTAATAGGTGTGAACATAATGGACTCGTTTATTCCTTTTGAAGACGGGCCCTCAACAGCCATGCTCGCTGTGCCGGCTGCCACAGCAGGTTACCAGACACCAGAGCCGTATTTCTAGTACTGCGGCGTCCCCCCCACAGAGAAATAAAATGTCAGTGGAGCAAATTACCGACGGGATGATTTGGAATCTATAAATATTAAATGACTCGGGCTTTCATTGGCCCATATAAAATTCAGGCGCTCAGCAGCTCTGGGAGAAATAACGTCTGAGAGTGCGAGGGGGAGGGGACTGGCTGCTCTGAGCCAAGTGTCCCCAAAGGCGGGCCCGAGGCTAACTCCGTGGTTGAGCGTGGCTGGGGTTGGTGGGGGGTAACCCTGGCTGGAGGAGGAGAAGGGCAGGGGGTAGAAAACCCAAAGGAAACTGTAATCTGGGCTGGGGTTTTCCTTGATTTTTCATTTGAGGCTTTTGTTTGGGGTGTGTGTGGTTGGCGAGAGTGCTCTGTGTCATATTTCTTACCCCAGCCCACGACTCTGTAACATGTTGGTGGGCAGTGTTGAGGTCTGCTTCCTCCGGAGACTGTGAGGAGGGGGCACTGCCCCCCTCAGAGGAGGTATTGGAATCTCCCTAGCAACAGGGGTGGGGGCTGCAGAAAGGCCGTGCCCACTCAGTGGCAGCCTGCAGTCCTTTTCTCCTGCTGCAGCCCCAGCCCCAAGCTCGTCCCTCACAGGGCCCCAGAGTGCTCCTTGTGGTCAGTCCTCTGAGCTTGTGTGAGGACTCCGATCATGTCTGTCAGTTGGTGCTGGTTTGTGTGTCTAATAGCAAGTATATGCTTGTGAGTTTTCCTGCATACTTTTAAACCACCTGGTTAGGTTTTAGGCCGACTACAGATAGACTGGACCCCTGGCCATGCAGTAGTTAAGAGCTCGGCTGCTAACCCAAAAGTCGGCAGTTTGAGTCCCCTGGCAGCTCCTTGGAAACCCTATGGGGCAGTTCTGCTCTGCCCTATAGGGTTGCTGTGAGTCAGAATTGACTCAACAGCATTGGGTTTGTTTGTTTGTTTTTTATAGCTAGATTGCCACCACCCAGCTACCGTGAGGGCTTATGTGTTGTTATGATGCTCAACAGGTTTCAGCAGAGTTTCCAGACTAAGGTGGACTAGGAAGAAAAGCCTGGCCATCTACTTCTGAAAATCAGCCAGTGAAAACCCCGTGGATCACAATGGTCCAGTCCACAACTAATCATGGGATGGGGCTAGACTAGGCAGCGTTTCGTTCCACTGCACATGGTATCACCATGAGTTGGGGCCTCACAACAACATAGATGGCAGAGCGCTCCTGTTTCCTCGGGGTCTCTTTCAGGATGCCTTGTAGTAACAGTGTTGTTAGGTGCCATTGAGTTGATTTTCGACTCACAGCGACCACATATGACAGAGTAGAACTGCTCCATAGGGTTTCCTAGCCTGTAATCTTTACAAGAGCAGATCGCCAGGTCTTTCTCCTGCGGAGCCACTGTATGGATTCGAACTGATGACCTTTTGGTTAACAGCCAAGTGCTTAACCATTGTGCCACCAAGGCTCCTTGCGATAACAGTTAAAAAAAAAAAAAAATCAGCTGCTGTTGAATAGCCTCCCGTTATGGACTGCTTCTGTGTATCAGGACCCTGTGCTAAGTTCTTTAAATGCATCATCTCAGTTGGTCTTTACTTGGCAGAGTAAGGTAGGAACTATAATACATTAACCATTTTGCAGCTGAGGATACTGAGGCCCAGAGAGGTGATGTGAATTGCTCAGGGCTTTCTAAGCCAGGGCTTTCTGACTCCAGGCCTGAGCTCTTAGTCGTGACCCTGCATCATGTCCTAGCCCCGTCCTGCAAGTCCTGGGTGGACTGCCTTGTTCACAGGCTGATGCCAAGCACACCCCTCTCTTGCAGGCATCCCCACGCTGATCGTGCTGGACCCGCAGGGGGAGGTGATCACACGGCAGGGGCGGGTGGAGGTGCTGAATGACGAGGACTGCAGGGAGTTCCCATGGCACCCCAAGCCAGTGCTAGAGCTCTCCGACTCCAATGCCGTGCAGCTCAACGAGGGCCCCTGCCTCGTCCTTTTCGTAGGTATGACACTCACGGGCCCCAGTGGGGGGACAGGACAGATGGACCTCACATGGGAAGTATCAGTCTGTACAGCTGCTTTCTGTCACTAACAATGCAGAGCCCAGGCCTTTGTCTCTCCCCAGAAGCCTTGCTTTTGACCCCAATGATTTATTCATGACCCTGCCCTGTAGGAGGTATTCTGGGGAACTGCTGCTGTGCTTTCCTTCCGGGCTGCTCCTGGCTGCCAGCTGGGAAGAATAGGTCAGTCCTGAGGATGCCCTCAGCCCCCCTGACTCCAGGCTATTGTTGGAGGGAGGTGGGCTGCATGCACTGCAGCTGCAGGTAGCTGGGTCCCCCTGGACCACGGCTTACCCCAGGCTGCCTCTGGATCATCTGGGCTCTGGTGAACTGCTTCAGCTGCCCGGCCCTGGCTGCATCCCTGGCTCATCCATCCAGTGGCCAACTGCCCCTCCCCACCTCTGCCCAGCCCCCTGCTCCCATGCTCGGTGAGTGATGCTCAGCCTGGGCACGAGGACACAGGAACATCCATTCCAGGCTCCTTGCAGCCCCATGGGATGACCCTGGTTCGTTTTGGAAACCGAGCAGCTAGTGGTCTAGGGCCACCTCACGCTCTGCCTTGGGACTTGCCGCTGTGCTCCAGCTCAAAATCATTTGGGATACGAGGATCATAGCTGAGATGCTGACATATCTTCTCCACTGAGGGGGGCTGGGGAGTATGAGCAACATCTTCCCTCATTCTTTGGAAGCCTACTTTGGGGGCTCTTCCAGAGGGGAACCAATATTCTGACCCAAGGGAGCTCTTCAACAAACTCACCTGCAGGCTAGTTTTGTGCTTAGGGGATGAAGGCCCTTGGGGAGAGGTAGCCTTGGAGAATCCTTCACCATGGGGCTGCCTGCCTCCTGTAGGGTTCACACCCCCCATCCTGGGAAATAGTTCTGAAACCAGGGATAGTTAGAACTCACTGGCCACTTGCAGATGTGGAAACAGGCCCAGAGAGGTGAAGCGAGTTGCCCAGCATCACAGAGCTAATTAGATGTGGAGCCACCAGGTGCCCTGCCGAGTCTGCACACTCTGGGCCTCTGGCATTTTTGGGTGAGATTCTTCTACCTGAACCTGCTTTTCCCTCTCCACTCCTTCAGCAGGAAGATGCTCCGAGACCACGCTGCCTTTCCACTAGAGGCAAGAGGTGCCTGGAAAGGGCTTGGGGAGCCTGGTCAGGGGGTTCTCCCATAAAAATCAGCCTACCCTCTGCCAAGTGAGTCTAGCTGCCAGCTGTAAATTGGCCTTGGTGCCTTCCTCCCCACTGCCATCAAAGCTGCTGACTGGACCCCAGTCCTGACCCTTTACCCCCAGTTCTTCTGCCATTTTCATTAGGAAGTCAGTGATCCAAGGTCATGGCCTCTCATTCTGTGATTGAGAGAAAAACTACCAGGATTTCAGGTCCTGACTTAGGAGACACTCAGCTCCAGGGTGGGTTTGTGAAAAAGGCCATTAGGGCTACTCAGTGAGGCGTGTCGTTCTCGGTGAGCATGGTGCAGGACGGTGCTGTGTGAGATGCTCTGCTGCCAGCGCATGCATATATTATGTGTATGCACATGTGCACACACGCACCCAGGAGAGACCTGTGCTGCAGGGGAAGCTCATTTCTGTTCAGGGGCTGCTCGGATCAGCGTTTCTGCAGCGCAGGGCCTGGACCCAGGCTCTCCCAGTGGGAGTCACTCCATCTGTTTGACCAGTCAATGGTTCTTCACATCTCTCTCTTCCATCACAGATTCCGAAGACGACGGGGAGTCTGAGGCAGCCAAGCAGCTGATTCAGCCAATCGCTGAGAAAATCATCGCCAAGTACAAAGCCAAAGAGGAGGAAGCACCACTTCTATTCTTTGTGGCCGGGGAGGTGCGTGCTGAGGGAGGGCTTGGCAGACTGTTAGGACCGGACTGACGTTGCCCTCTGGGATGCTTGAAGGGGCCCCGGGGTCCAAGCTGACCTGCTTCTGGGAGAGCCACTGACGAATGAGCCACGAAAGGTGGGCCATTAGTCATGGAAAGTGTTCCTACCCTGCCGCGTTCTCCGACCGTCTTTCTCACGCAGCAGGATGCCCACCCCAGGCACAGCTCTTCCCAAGTTTCCCATGCGAGCTGGTCTCGATAGCTGCTGGGAAGAGTGGCCGCCACGTGTGTGGTCAGCACTTATTCTCTCGGTGCTTAGTCAGAACGAGGCCCTTGAAGCTTTATAAGGTGTCCCCTTGGTTAGTTCCTTCACAATGCCCTGCTGAGTGGCTTTTCCCATCACAGGGATCCTGGCTGGGGGACATAGCTTGGCCCGCACTCACCCAGGCAGTGTGTGAGGTGGGGAACTACTGACGTTCCCTATCATTTTTACCCAAGGCCTGTCCCTTGAGGCCTCCAGCCGTGCTGGACAAGCAGGGGACTTCTCACAGGGTGAGAACACCGGGCCCCTTCGCAGAGCCACCTCCCGCACGTTTAGGCGCCGCCTCCGCCCTGCAGACACTGGGGATCTCCGCAAAATGGCCGCGGTCTGCGCAGACGCTCTACCCCGCAACACCCCCACCCCCGCGGCAGAGCTCCTCCATGCATGCTCTACCGCCCCCTCCCCACACCCCTCCATAAACCGGTTATCGATGAGCATGCTTTTTGAAGGCAATGTGCCTTCGGTCCACCAGCCCGCACCCCCAGTTGGTCAGAGCCCCCTGCTCATTTCATGCTGTGTTTGGCTCCCAGGAGAGGTGTGGAGGGGACGAGGCAGCAACAGCCAAACACTGTGAATCACCTATTCATCACCTCCTCAATAGCTGCCCTGCTAAGCCCTGCTGGGCCCCTCACAGGCAGCCGAAGTCACCCTGCGCAACCTCAGGGTGAAGGGGAACAAAGCAGGTTCACAAGGCCCTGCCAGGGGGCCACACCAGCCTGTGCTACACAAAGCGCACATAGAGGCTGCTCTGAATGCATTCAACCGTAGCCCCTTCAGAATGGCTCTGAGAGAAGAGATGGGTGCAGAACAGAAAAGGCTGGGCCTGGGGAGAGGGGGCTGGAGCGATTCGGCGACTGCTTTAGAAACGTGGCTGAAAAGGAGCATTGGCGGGTTTGCTCCAGACCAGGCACCATGCCAAGTGCTTCACCTGCATTATGTCATCTGTTCCTCCTGTCTCTGGGCCGGAAACGTGACGATTATCCTGTTTCACAGGACAGCAGGGCTCAGAGAGGGTCAGGGACTTATCCAAGGCTGTTCAGCTGGGAGGTGGAGACTAGGTTCTGGACCCAGGCTGGCCTGGGACTGCTGGCAGGCTCGTTCCTTCCTCACATTAGCCCCATGTGTTAGGAACCATCATTAAATCCATCGTGCAGGGGTGGAGACCTAGACTTGGAGCAGTGACTTTCTGAAGTCACACAGAAAGTAGGTGGCAGAGAGGGGACTGAATGTGAGGTCAGTGAGACCCTAGAAGCCATGCGCTTACTCCCCTGACCTTGTGTTCCAGCAGATGGACCCACTCAGGCCTGGCCGAAAGAGGAAGGGCTGGGAAAGGAGGGAGGACCCCTGGTACAGGAAGTTGTTTAGGGAGCTGGAGGCAGGAGTCTGAGTCTTCCACTGCTCCAGTCCCCCACCTGGCTGTCCTTGTGCTCAGGCACAGGCACCTGAAACAACAGGCATTGACTGAGCCTCCTGGAGCCCAGGACCCTGGTCCTGGTCCCCTCACATTCTACCCAGGACTGAGGGTGACCCTTGTTTCTGTCTTGATCCTGTTCTCTCTGGTAGGTAGAAGAATCATCCCTTCTGAAGCCTTAATGGACATTAAAACTCCATCTCCCCATGGCTTGCTGAGAAGGCAAGGGTCAGGGGAGGCAGCATAGTACTTGGCTTGGTCTAGGCCTTCCAGTGGGAATTAGAGATAGATATTTGTCCAGGTGTCTCCCCTCTGTTTATCATGAACATTTTTTATTAACCCAAGTGGAGGGCCTGAATTGGGTGAACAGTGTCAGAGATGATCAATCACCCAGTTTTATGGATTGAATTGTGTCCCCCAAAAATCTGCGACGTAAATCCTGGCTTCTGCGCCTGTAGTTATAATACCATTTGGGAGTGGGTTGCCTTTGTTATGTGAATGAGGCAGGATTAGTGTGAGGTGTGTTTTGAGTCAATCTCTTTTGAGATATAAAAGAGATTAAACAAGCCAGCAAAAGAGCGATGGGGTAAGATAGATGCCAAGACACATGGAGATCTCCAAGGAACCAGGAAGCAGAAGCTGAAGAGACAAGGACCTTCCTCCAGAGCCGACAGAGAGAGAAAGCCTTCCCCTAGAGCCAGCACTCTGAATTCGCACTTCTAGCCTCTTAAACTGTGAGAAAATAGATTTCCGTTTGTTAAAGCCATCCACTTGTGGTATTTCTGTTATAGCAACACTAGATAACTAAGACACCCAGCATTGCTAGGAAGTACATGCTGTTTCTGGAAAGAAAAAAACAAAAAGACCATCACCAAGAATCTTTGTAAAGATCTGTCCTCTGAGAAAGGAATGTTTTTGTTTTGTTTTTTTTAATTGTCCTTCAGGTGAAGGCTTACAGAACAAATAGTTTCTCATGAAATAGCAGTACACATATTGTTTTATGACATTGGTTAACAACCCCACAACATTATAACTCTCTAACTTCTCAACCTCTTTTTTTTTTTTTTTGGTGAAAATACACATAGCCAAAGATACACCATTTCAAAAATTTCTACACGCACAGTTCAGTGACATCGACTACGCTCTTCCAGTTGTGCTGCTATTCTCACTTTAGATGAAGGCTTACAGAACAAAATAGTTTCTCATTTAACAGTACACATGTTGCCCTATGACAATGGTTAACAATCTCACAACACATCAACACTATCCTTACTCAACCTTGGGTTCCCTATCACCAGCTTCCTTGTCCCCTTCTGCCTTCTGGCCCTTGTCCCTGGACTGCTGTACCTCATTAGTCCCATTTGGTTTTATGGGGCTGTCCACTCCCAGGCTGAACAGTGAACCTCGGAGATGACTTCACCACTGAGCTAAAAGGCTGTCTGGGGGCCATACTCTCGAGGTTTCTCCAGTCTCCTTTAGGCCAGTAAATCTGGTCTTTTTTTTGTGAGTTAGAATTTTGTTCTACAGAGAAAGGAATGTTTTTGTTCAAGAAGCCAGTTAGCTGTAAATTTCATGTCTCCTGCCCAGCACCATTTAGGGCCAGGAAGACCCCAAGCCCTTTCTGTGTAGGGTGACTCAGGTTTTTTCATTCGTTTAGAATATTGTACATTTTATAGTCAGACGACCTCAGGATGGGGGGTGTAAAGTCCATTTTCCATAATCTACCTACTGGGGGTCAGCAGTGTAAAAGGTAATCTTGAATGGTTGCTGCTTACAAATCCTTTCCCTTGTCTTTGGATTTCCATGTTTGCCTTTACATTTGAGCAAGGTGATATCTGATATGAAAGAAATTCACCTGGACAGCCACTGGGCATGTATGACGAAGTGTCGGCTTCCTTCTCAGATGAGTACAGCCGGCTTTTGAGCTGGCTGGGTGTGCGGCTCCCACCCTCCCTGAAACCAAAGGGGGCAGTGAGCTGTTTCCGCTTAACAACAGTCCGGAGTTGAGGTCCAGATTGGCCACACATAAGCTACAGTGGGGCTGCAAATAATTGAGAGTTAATTGCAAAGATAAGCCATCAGAGGACATCAATTTTTAAAAAGCAAGTCTTGCAAAATACATGGTCAAATTTGTTTTCATGCTAATAAAGAAAGGTGGATTGGGGTAATGCAGAGAGAGAAGTTTAGCAGCCAGCCCCCACCACTCCTAGAAGGGCAGAACCATGCTCCCCGTTTTAAGGGCCCATCTTTGACGAGAGCCTGCTCCTAAGGTGATGGAGGGATTCCATTCTCATGCCATCTGGGAACCTGGGCCCAGGGAGCTTCTGTATCCCCTTTCTTTAAAACTTACGGGTTTTTCTCTCCCTTCTGGTGACTTCCAGGACGACATGACTGACTCCCTGCGAGATTACACCAACCTGCCCGAGGCGGCCCCTTTGCTCACCATTCTGGACATGTCGGCCCGAGCCAAGTACGTGATGGATGTGGAAGAGATTACCCCCGCCATCGTGGAGGCCTTTGTGAATGACTTCCTAGCAGAAAAGCTCAAACCAGAGCCCATCTAGTGGGCTCCAGCCTCATGAGACATTATTTAAAACTCAGTCTTCTCATCCTCCTTCCCTTCCTTCTCTCCGCCCTTGGACTTTTCCAGTGTGTCCTGAGTCGCACAACCCAAGTATCCAGCCTCTCTGTGGTGCCTTGTTTTCTGCGTTAACTCCTCAGCTAGCGCCCTGGGGTGCGCTCCATTTCAACAGCCGAAGAACCGCCATGTTCGAAGACTCTTCTTGGGCCTCATGAGGATGGCATAACCCAGCCAGAACTGGGACTGCATCGCTCTGTATAAGGGTCACTAGCTCGTGACGAAATGTTTGCCAGGGTCTTTGTTCTCCAGAGAAAGCATCAAGGGACAGGGCTCGGTTCCTGGTTCATTCCGACTTTTGTGTCAGCACACCCACACAAAGCCCAAGACCCCTAGAAGGGAACTGCTCACTGATACCTGTCTGTGCAGGTAGAGCAGAGAAAGGGCCACATCCTCATTGGGCCTCAGCTTAGAGCTGTTGGTGAAACATCATCTTCTAAGTGACTTTAGTCTTATCTTGTTCTGAGGAAAACAGCAGCTTGTCAGTGGGTTCCTGGGCAGGGGATCTCCAGATCTTAAAGGAAGCTTGTGTGTGTGTGTGTTTTTCTGGTGAGAAGAGGGTAGCTAAGATAATGATTCATATAGTAATTGCTTACTTTTATTGAGCTCCTACCATGTGATGAGAGCTTCTCGTTCCTTCCTTTTATCTCCTCCTACCCTTGATCTTGACCTTCCCCAAGTTTCTGCCTTCTCGTATGAACACCCCTACTATCATGGAATTTTGTTAATGAATTCTTCGCCTTGGACATCTTCCCAAGAAACTCAGTCCAGAGTTCTTAGAGGAGCACAGCTAGCCAGCACAGACCTCTGAGCACAGCTCTGTGCCTGGGGGTCCCTGAGCTCTTTGGCAGTGCCTGGGCCCACCTGTGGTCACCCCTGTCATTCCCTTTTCTTTTCAAAGCAGAACTAAAGAGAGGCAAGAAATTACCAGAAGCCTAGCTTTTTCCTGAGAACCTGCAGAAGGAGCTGTGCCCTAGGGCGGGAGTGAGGGCAGAGGGTATGTCAACTAATGGTAGACTGTGGGTCCCCCTGTGCTAGGCCCAGGGTAGCTTGGCCCCTTATTTGAGCTAAAAACTGGCCACAAAAAGGAATACAACAAGAACAACTAAGTTCTTAGAGTTTTGGATGGAGGGCCTTGGCCTGGGAATTTGCCGGGGCTTAGCTCACCTCAGCCAGGTGTCCGACTCTTTAAACCATTCCAGCCTTACCCTTGGCTCCACTGACAGCACTTGCCAACCAAGACCACTTATTTGAAATCTCAGCACACCCCCCGCCAATAGACTGTTGACACTGTTGTTCCTTGCCCAATTGGATTGTTTATTTGTAGTTCAGAGGTACAAAGTTAGTTGGTTATTAGACTGTTATTGAGTATCACCAGCCTGGGTGTCACTACAGTCACCTAGTAAGAAATAAAACGGGCATCTCTGGACGTTACCAACCAAGTAGCCTTTCCCATCCTTAATCACAAACACCATTTGTTAGCTACGTTTCTGCCGTGATGCTGTGCTCTATTAGGACTGGGGAGTTGGAGGTGGGACATAGAGATCCTCTTGACTCTCATTGGATACCTAGTAGCTGTGTGCCAGGATTTTCAAGAACCCCCAGACCTAACATGGTCATCTGTCAGATCCTCTTCGTGTCCAGAAGCCAGGAAGCTTGTTTGGATCAGAACAGTAGAGGCAGATCCTTCCTGGAGCTCTGGCCACCACTCTCCTGGTTTGACTTGGCCCTTGATGGAGGCCAAGTACTCATAGCATAAGCATCATTGCAGGCACTCATGCTCATTCCTCCCTGCAGGGGAGCCAAGTGCGCTGAAGGCTGGTTGGGGAAACAAATGGAATCACACATAGTTCTTGTGAAGAATGGGCAGTGGTTTGAAACCCTTAAATCTAGCTCTGTCCTAGGGTGAAGGACTTCTCTGGGAACCCTGCCAGTGTCTCCCCTTGGACATGGGTGAGGACACAAGGTGAGGTCGACCTCTGTTGGAAGATGGGCTGGATTTCTGTCAATACTCTGTATCCAGATTACCTCGGAGTAGTACAGGTAGTGTCACTTAAAACCAAAATTAAACTCGTTGCTGTCGATTTGATTCTGACTCATAGCGATCTAACAGGACAAGGCAGAACTGCCCCATAGGGTTTCCAGGGAGCGGCTGGTGGATTCGAACTGCCAACATTTGGTTAGCAGCTGAGCTCTTAACCACTGCGCCACCAGGGCTGCTAGTGTGCCTTTGCAGCTGCTTATCTTCTTGGGGCAGAAGGAACAAAGTCCAGTGAGGAGTTTCTCTCAGTCATTGCCATCTCTAAGTCAAGGTCATCTCTGATACTTTGGTGGCCTGTCCAGGGCTGACTCTGAACTACCTGCCAATAATGTCAGCTGATGGATCCTGGACACCAGAAGTCCTCTTTTAGAGTGGATGCATAGGTTAGTTAAAAATCAGTTGGGAACTTTTACTTAAAAGGTGCTTTAGCTTTATATGGTGGCTACTTTGGGGAAAAACACACGCAAGGATCACTTCACCAATGCCAGTAAAAAAAATCCCTTTCTCAATATTGAGAGAGAGGTTATTGATGCAAACGAAGTGGGTGGCATGAGTAATTCCCACTAAGCAGCTCCAAAATACCTTAAAATTCTTGTCGCTAATTGGAAGCAGGTTAAAACACCAGCTGTGACATATTCAGGGACTTCCGCCAGCAGCAAGGGAAACCATGTGCTTCAGGTGGAGGTGGGAAGGTGGCTGTAAAAAATGCCACCATGGAGTCCCCAGATTCTGTTCACCACAATGACTTCCAGATCTGATTCTCCCTATTTTCACAACAGATAAGATTTTCTTAACTGTCCCCAACAATAAAGATCTGTTTAAGAAAAAGGCTGTGTGTTTGGGATTGGTGTGTACAGTGGACAGACATAGGAGGGCAAACAAAAACCAGCCGCTTTTCCAGGAGTGATGTGGCTTCCTGCAAGTGCAATGACGTTTTTTCCCCAAGCGTGTCCTTGGAATCAATGACTCTCACCCGAGCCTAGGGAGCCAGCGCTGCTTTCTGCCATCAGCCAAGTTTCAAGTGGTAATTCTCAGTTTTCAGCCAGACTTTGTTTTTTCCTGTTGCCTAATTAAAGAACTAAAAAAGCTGTTCTCCCCTCCTGTTGCCTTGTTCGAAGTCTGCAGTGCTATCACGACATAGCAGGATATGGCCGGGGAACTAAGAAGGTTGTTGCAGGATAGCTTCAGGAGAAAAGCGCAGATGTTTGCAAGTACACGTGTATGTGTAGACACGCTGTACCCTCGGATTTGTAGCGCTGAAGGGACCTGAGCGAGTGTTGACCCAGCCACCACCAGTCACCCAGGCGCCAAGTGTGCACACAACGTGTGCGTGTCACCTCCCCCGGCCAGCCTGGACAGGCCTGTGCTTGCCCCTAATAGGTCAGGAACACCAGTGGGGAACCAGCAGGTCAGAGGAAGTTCCGGGGCGCCCTCAGTCTCTCGGGGCGTTGCCTTATGAGCCTAGGATGGAACTGGAGGCCCTGTGTGCGGGAGAATCTCACACATCTGCCCTGGAGCAGCTGTACTGAAGTGAACATTTGGCCTACATTTGTTGCCGATCCCAAGAGGGACAAGAGTATATCCTGCTTTCCTCCAAGCAGGCTGCGGGGAAAATTCTTCGGAGACAAATGGCTGTTATTAGCATCATTGTTAATGCTAATGGTCTGTGACTGTGTGAGAAGGATCAAATACTTCCTAGGAAACAAAAGGCCGTATGTAGGAAATTTTTATATTGGGTCCGCTTTATGTGTCTTCTGGCTGGGATTCCTCCCTCTAATGGAGGAAAACAGGACATAAGGATGTTATATGCATGCCTTATGTGTGAACACGTGAAGATGAAAGCATACTTCATTTTTTAGGGCGTAAGTGTGTGCCACCACCTTGACGTTTTAGAATAACTCCCAAGCCAGGAAATAAGTTAGATTTGGGTAGAACTTGTTCTGAGGGATTATTGGATTCCCATTAAATAATGTGCTAACTTGGAGTCCCTGGGTGGCACAAATGGTTAAGCGCTAGACTACTAACAAAAGGTTGGCAGTTCAAAACCCAGCCAGAGGTGCCTTGGAAGTAAGGCCTGGAGATGTGCTTCTGAAAAGTCACAGCCTTGAAATGCCTATGGAGTGCAGTTCTACTCTGCACATACGAGGTCACCATGAGTCAGGGGCAACTTGAGGGCGGCGAACAACAATGTGCTAACTCATGAAAGCCTGTCTCTAGGCCTGTAGGCCAGTGTGCAGCCCAGAGTAGACAGAGGTAGCCTCAAGTCTGGATTTCTGGGTGCTGGTACCTCACTCAAATAAGCCACCCACACGTGATAGAACCAGGATACAGCAGGAGATGTGATCTTGGGACCCTGGGCCATAAAAATAAATCTCCTTTGGACATCACAGGATATGGAAGTCCCCAACCAATCAAGAGCCACTCTGCAAGCCTAGTCCATACGCACCTCCTTCCCATCAGAGGTGCAAGGGAGGCTGGGAGGCCAGACCCTGCTGTAGCCACCATCTCCTCCCCAACCTTTGTTCCCTTCTTGCTTTTTGAAGCAGCAGCCACCTTAGTAATGACCTACACCAACTCTGAGGCTTCGATCGAGAAGCCCTGATGTTGAGTGGAAGGATCCCTGGTGACGCAGGGGTAGAGCACTCCGTAGCTAACCAAAAGATCAGGGGTTCGAACCCACCAGCTGCTCCACGGGAGAAAGATGTGGCAGTCTGCTTCTGTAAAGATTAAAGCCTTGGAAACCCTACAGGGCAATTCTACTCTGTCTGACAGGGTCGCTATGAGTTGGAATCAACTCGACGGCAGTGGGTTTGGTTTGTTTGATAACCATCCATAACATACCGGGATTTTTTAGTCATACTTGGCCACTGAGCATCAACACCAGCATCCTGAAGCTTTCGGTGATGACTCAGGTTGCAGCTGCTACCTCAGCTGCTCGAATGTAACATGGTTCCCTAGTTCAGAGACCTTTTAAAGTCATCCCGGGCAATGTATCAGTTCAATCATTAATTTGGTTTCTAGCTTATTACCTTTGTGCATTCACTAATGAAAAGAGAGGAAATAAGATCTTGGAGTTTAAAAGTGGCTACATAGGAGTTCCTTTAAAAAAAAAAAAAGTGAGCCACATTCATGCCGGCTCCTGCAGAGACAGCTTGGCCAAGAGGGGAGCCTGAGGCCACAGAACCTTTGGATGAGGGGTGCTTTCAGGGGTCTTTGGTGGAAAGGCAAAAGAAGTGGAGCTAAGTGGTAGTGACATCTGGTGTTGCTGTTAACACTGGGACAAGTGGTAAAAGCTCCCAGAGAAAACTGGTGGAAACCTGTTCCCGGAGATCTGTTTATCCTCTGGGCCTTGAAGACCTGGATTCTAACCAGGAGCAAGCAACTGTAGCTGGGGGAAGAGATGGGTTTCTGCTTTCTTCCTGCCCTGAGGCGCTAACTGAATGGTGCTGCAGGGGGACCCCAGTCTGAGTTCAGGTGCTTCAGGACATCAGTGTTTGCCCTCAACTGCCTTCCATTCAGGAGGGAAAACTGCTAAGTCTTTTCTGCTGCTGCCACTTCTCTGTATGCTTCCTTCTTAGTTTTTGTTCCCAGTGCCCTTGTGTACTTTAGAGTCTTAACTTCTGCCAAGATCCAATGTGTGACTATCTGGATGGGTCTCCAACCGTAGCAGAACCAGCTCTGTGCACAGATAGTTTGCAAAATGCCCTCTGTAGGTGGAGGGAGACTTTTGACTTCCTTCTTCTTTCCCCTTTTTTCAACAATTTAAATCCAGGAAAAACACCCAACCCTTCCCTTCAGCTTTGGGGGTGGTTTGAGAGATGTGGCCTGCCACCTTGTGGCAGAAATCACTACTGCAGCTGGGCCTCCACACAAAGGCAAAGGGGGAGCTTGCCCAACCTTGTGACAATATTTATCTTTCAGCAAAGCAGCGAGTGTGTTTTTCTTGTCATATATCTCTCAGTTTTTATTCCTATTTCCTGGGGAAATGGTAACAGAACAAATGTTGGCCTCAAAACTGAGAATTCAAGATAGTGATTTTCCAGTATCACTCAGCAAACAAGAGCTCTCATTTTTTATCAATGTTTCAATCCATTAACCACCATTTGCTTCCTCTGTTGCCATTTTAAAGAAAGGAAAATTTGCTTCTCCCCCCACCTCCTCCCCTTCCTGGGCTAAATTATATCCACAAATACACAAAAGAACTCATAAGACATTGTACATAAGCAACTGACTAGAACCTGAATGGAATGCAAATTTCTTTCCCTCATACACCCAAGATGATAAAACGGGCTTAAAATTATTTGCCATGTTTAGTGTTTTGCATTGCTGTTTTTCCAAACGAAGTATAGGGTTTGTTCTTTCCTTGTTTTTTATTTTGTAACCAAAATGAGCAGGAACAATAACCCAAGGACACAAATTCCAGGAGACTGGTTTCATGCTGGAGAGACGTGAGCTTCCTTTTAGCGACTTCTGTTCCCTTAAAAACACTTCACTAAGGTGTTGCGGGAGACCGTATGTGAACAGCAGTGAGGTACAACCTCTCTGGGCTTCCTTCCATACTTAGCTGCTGGTGCGACAGGCTATGTTCCTCTTTCAATTCTTATGTCAACTTGTAAAGTTTGCTGATCTTGCTAGGTGGTCCGTACAGCCTTTCTGGGGCAGTGCACTATACAGGCTTTGGGCTCTTCTACTTTCTAAAAGCTGACTGGGGTCCAGGGGCTCAAGAACCATCCATGGGCTGGAACCCACAGCTGCCGTTGTTGTGTGCCATCAAGTCGATTCCGACTTATAGCGACCCTACAGGACACATTAGAACCGCCCTATAGGGTTTCCTAGGCTGTAATCTTTACGGGAGCAGATCACCAGATCTTTTCTCCTGCGGAGCCACTGGTGGGTTCGAATCACCGACCTTTTGGTTAGCAGCCGAGCACTTAACCACTGCAATGCCAGGGCTCCTTTTTGAACCCACAACTAGATATATCTATTTCAGGCAAAGAAGCCGAGCCACATCAACGCCTTCTTCCCAGCAGTCGTCGGCACTCTATTTGCACCGGGCATTTCTGTGGAACCCTGGGCAGGCCCAGACCAGAGTAGGACGCCACAGCAGCAGTCCAGGCTGGTCAGCTGGGGTGGGCACAGCCGACCAAAGAGGACTGTTCCTGCCAACACCTCTCCTCTCCCCTCAAACATGCCAAAGCCAATTCCACCCTGCCACTTGGGGTACAAATCACACTTGATCACTTGGCTTCCCAGAGAGGAAGTTTTACTGGGTCATTGTAGTTTTCCTCAGGCATGGCAAAGGAACTCACTGGGCACTCCTGGAATGAGCAGCTGAAGGGCTCCCAAGGGATCCAACCATGGCAGGATCCACCGTTCAGACGGAATGCGGTCAAACCACACTGCCTGTGTCCCTCATATTCTATGTGGTTGCCAAATGGTGCTTGAAAGGAATCCCACGTTCCAGTCCCACCCACCCCCTTCCCACGGTCACTTACAAACAAGGTGATTACCGCCTGCATCTATCTCCTGGCTGGCCCCAGGTAAGGATCCAGCTCGCCCTGGTCCCGCAGGTTTGTGAGGACAGCAGCAGAGTCCTGCTGCAGTGCTGCCGTGAAGAACAACCCAAATAACACCCCAGCACTGTGGGCCAGAGCACCCCAGGCTCTCAGCCTCATACCCTCTCCTGCAGGAGTGCTCTGAGGCCTCTGCTCGCATGGCGTCCAGCCGCAGCATGGCGTCTATGCAGGAGGGGGTTTAAATGTCAGTATGTAACCTGAGTCATCTTGAACTAAAACTTACATGGAGTAGGACTATCAGCAAGGAGCTAGTGAACAGGGTGCGGCTTTCTTGATGGATGCAAGGCTAAGCTGAAGATTTTAAAACTCAGTCCCCTCCTTCTCTGCATCAAGAGCCCTCAAAAAGATAACTGTGGGGTGCTACGAAGGTATGACCCACCTGATGAATTAAGCTACCGATCATCAAAAAGGGGGAAAACTGTGTTACACGTAGTAAACAGTGGTTGTTTACGTCAAGGGCCTGAACAAACAATCTGAGAATGGTATATCCAACCCAAAAGAACAGCTAGCTGTTGAAGGTCATGGCTGGTAGCCCTTCACTTCCTGAGGTATTCATCTCTTAGCAGTGTCCTCATCACTAGGCCAAAGGTTGAAGAACAGGCACTGAGCCCCACCGGCAACACTTATTCCAGCAAACAGGCTGTAATGTAATGTGCTGGTTCTGCACACACGACACAGAAGCGTATGTCCCACTGACCAATGGTGGGAGTGAGTGACTTGGCCACCTGCACCACAGCCTTAACCATGGCGTATGAGCCACGCTCGATGGCTGCAATGTGCCCACCAGCTGTTGAGGGAATGGGCCTTCCTCCATTCCCTTCAGTAACTTTCTGGGCACAAATATGCTCCTTGGCGGACCACTTTTAAAAACATGTAATGCCCATATAGGCCGTGTGGATATCTGTTTGTGGTGTCACATTTTAAAAAAAAAAGACATGACTGAAAAAACAGTGACCGCCAAATTGGTAGCGAGATGGGAGCTCTTGGGAAGAATCCTGACCTTTGTTGTTTTTCAGGATAAGCAGAAATTCATGGAATTTCTTATTTTTCCAGTAGCCATATACTGGCATCATGCCTACCTCTTGCCTCCTGAATATGGCCCAGGGAAGCCCAGAGAAAATGCTGAGAGAGAAGAAAACGGCTTCCCCAGCTCACACACTGCTCTCCAGGTATAAACAAGCCCACAGCCACCTGACAAGATTCTCAGAGATGGGAGAAGCTACAGGCTCCCTCGGACCGAGAAAGGATGTCCGTGTCCCCTCTCAGTGGTAACTCCTGCCCCTGCTCAAGTGTTCCTCCCTTACCCGCAGTTGTCTTTTCCCTTCGAAAAGCAAGATGCTGGCAGCCATGGCCGAGTTCAGGCTGTCCACACCAGGCACAACGGGGATCAGCAGCCTCTTGCCCCCAGTGCTCTCGGCCAGCTCTAGGGACTCCAGGCTCACTCCATGAGTCTCCCCACCGATGACCACAGCCGCCGGTGCCTCTGTCCAGTCCAAGTCGTAGCTCTGGACCTCAAGGTCAGGAAGCCAGTCTCTTTTGGCTCCAGTTTCTAGATCTTCCTCCTCCTCCTCATACTTGTGAAACTTCAGGAATCGTCGGTCACATACCCAGCTGTGGTTGCTGCCTTTATTAGACATAGACATTTGGGCCCGGGCATAAAGGCCACAGTTGTCAGCCACGTAGACCCGGGTGTCAGTGGGCAGGTAGTTGGGAATTGCTTCCCATTCCAGATTGTTGATAATGGGCACCTGGAAATGCGCGCCCATACCTGCCCTCAGCACTTTGGGCTCCCAGACATCCACACAGCCTAGAAAACAAAAAGACAGGATCAAATCAAGACTGGACAAACTGTTTCAGACTAGAAAGCTTTGGAGTAAGTCGGAATAATTCTGGATACAGGAGATAAAGCAAAAAGCTATTCTGTTAGAGCCTTCTTGAGAGCTGAGAACTTCTGCTTCACTGAGGATGGCAGCGTCTAGCAAAGGGACTGAATGATTAATTTCTGCCAGTGCTGAAAACACAGTTTAGTCATACCTCCAACATTTACCATGCACGTGTGCCAGATGTTGTATGCAAAGAGAACTAACGCCCCCAATCTCAAGGAGCTTACAGTACAGTGCATGGTGAGGCTGGGATGACATTTAAACAGGTGACTACCATTATCGGTAATAACTGATGTAGAGAAGCATGGACAGAGTAATAGAAAATCCTTGTACAAAGCAGGAAAGACCTCTAGGAAAACATGACACTGCTGGATCTTGAAGGATAGCAAAAGCTTGTCAGAGAAAGGTCCAGGCAGGGGACAAAGTTAAGAAAGGGAAAGTGTGCCACAGTCCAAGAACTACAAGTAAGGTGACCAAGGCAATTAATGGGTGGGAGTGTGGTAGAGCTCAGATGGGAGGCAGGCAGGGACCAACTTAAAGGAAACTAGGGATGCTAGGCAGAGGAATTTTGGATTTTATTCTGAAGACAATATAATTCCATTAAAAGATTTTAAGTAAAGGAGTGACAGAATCTGGTTTATGTTTTAGAAAGGCCCATCTGGCTTCAATGTTGAATCTTAATTGGAGCGGGGAAGACAGTAGAGATGGGGAGATTAGGAGGCCATGGCAGTAATCCAGGGTGAAATGATGAGAATCAATCAAGACAACAGTCTTGTCATTCACATACACACACACTGTCCCATACCACAGTAAGAAGGCTAGAAGGAAATGGCACACAGAAGAGCCTATTCTTTTACAGTATAGTCATGCACTAAACCCAACCACTTTTATGCATTAGCAGAACAGCAGACACTTGGCCTTTCCCAGGATGCACCAAGGGCAGGCTGCGAGAGATGGCACTACCCAGCATTTCACCCTGGCTGCACCACATACCTACTCTGACTTGTTAGTACGCGTTTCCTCATTACAAGTTATTTTAAAAATTAATTTATCAAACTTCAGGCTAGATTAACTTAGGCAAACCAGATTTAAAAAGGAAAACAAGTCAAAAGGTGCAGTTATAACACTGCCCATAAATACCCCAACCATGGCTTCTCCCAACCACTGTAGGGAACCAGAGGTGGGAGTAGTGCTATATGCCAAGAGGTGGGGGAAGGAGACCAGAAGAGGGGCCCAGACTTGTGAGGGCAACCATGCAGTCTGACCCCGCTGCATGGTGGGGAGTAAGGGACAAGATGAGATTTACCCCTACAAGTCCTTGATACTAGGCACCGCCCCAAGGGTTTCCTACTCTTTCTTCCCTATCTCTTATACACCAGCCACCAGTATCGACGTGAAAACCAGTTTGGATTATATAGATACCTCCAACACCACACCTGCTCTCAGAGTATTCAACAATGAGGGGGAGGGGGACATTTAAGTGGGTACTGATGATGGAACCCCAGCACCCAGCTATCATGCCAGCAGAGGAATGCACTCCAGCAAGGTGTGACTATAGAGTAAAAGTTGAAAGGAGCAATTCAGGCAAGTCTCAGCAATGGGTGTCACTATACGTTTACATTTAATGGTAACTTCGGTGTTTCTGATGAATGATACTCTCTCTCCCAGCCTCCGCACAAATAGTAATAGGCACTGTAGGTATGTCCCAACTGCTGGACAAGTCTGTTTAGAACCTAGCCTATTAATCCCCCTTTATGATGAGAGAAGACAGAAATGTAATGAGGCTAATTTGTGTGTGTGGGTGTAATCCATCCTGAGGCTAAGGGAAATGCACCAAAATTGCATAATCATACTCTGTTGATACCATCCCTTTCATAGGGTTCATAGAAGGTCAAGAGTTAGGAAGGTCTCACATACCCAAAAATTTGGGAACTCAAGTTCATTAAATAAAAGACCTGAAACCAAGTGTTAAAATTGATATCTATCACTTCCCCTTGATTCATTTAAAATTCTTGAATAACCTGGCAAGTGCCAAAATAATTTTTTTTTTAAAAAACCAGTTATTTACTGGATTATTTATTGTATGCCAGGCACAGTGCTAAGTACTTTATGTGCATCATCTCACTTAATCCTCAAAACAACCCTATGAGGTCAATTCCATTATTATTCCCACTTTACAGATGAGGAAACTGACACTGAGAATATTGCTCACGGATACATAGGCAGTAAGGGGCAGATCTAAGATTTGAACCCACATGTGTCTGCCCAGAGTCCTAGGTCATTGAGAAATGGCCAACCACCCAGTATCAGGTGCTCTTACCTTTGGTCAGTAATACTTTGCTGCAGCCTGCCCCAGCAGCAGATCTCAAAATTGTCCCCAGGTTCCCAGGGTCACGGAGATTGTCACAAATCAACAATAAGGGCAGTGAATGGTGAAGCTGAGTTTCTGGATATGTCATCTTAATGTGGTCAGGTTTGGCAAAAATCCCTGAGAAAACAAAACAGGAGCTTCACTTGTCTGATGTGGGCATGGGGGACAATTTGACTTCTCATTTACTTATTATTCTCTATATATTCTGGCAGGGGCTCTAAGGAAATAGAGGACTAAATCTTTTGGTAAACATTTTCTTAATTAAGTTTGACATTAAAGATTGAAGAAGTGACTTAAAAAACATAAGGTTTGAGGAAGAGTGGTTATTTCTAGTGACTGTAAAGAGCCATTATACAAATGGTGGCAAAAACTGGCTTCAGTTTCCACTGGAAATATTGTAAGACGCATAGGTTTGAGAACTGTATTTTTCTGAGTGTCTTAAGAAGAGGATAGGCAATAATATTTTGAATTTGGTTTAAATAAAGTTTGCTGCCCTAAGACAAGATCAGATAATTATAGGTCAACCAGGGCTCAAACATACCAAAGACTATGAGGACCTGGCCATGTTTAGTTCTGTTATACATAAGGTAGCCATGAGTCGCAACCAACTCCATGACAACTAACAACACTATCTCCTAGTGACACACTGTGTAACCACTGACCCATTATTCCTTGTGGCGTTACCAGGTCGGACCAGTCCTTGATGTCCTCAAATTTCACCTTAACAAGGCTGACACCTTTCAATTTATCCATGGGCAGCTCCTTTATGTATTCCAGACGGCTAAAGAAGAAAGTCTTTGGCACAGCACCAGCCTTGAGAGCGTCGGCAATCAACCTGCGACCCTCCAGGAGGATCTTCCCTTTCTTTTCCCGAAACGGCCTGGACTTAACTATTGTCATGACACTGCTATAGTTGGAAACAAAAAAACGAGTAATTACTAACTCTTGTTATCAAGGCACATCTAGTTCTAACAGTCACAAGGAGTTTCACAAAAACAGAAGCAAACGAATTCCAAGGGAGACACTTATTCTACTTTCCGTGCATAAAAAAACCACTAGTACTACTGGAATGAGCGGTCCTCCATCAGTAAGAAAAGAAGTTAAGGTACGGCCCGAGGTGGGAGGAGAAATGGGAATACTTGACAAGCTTTAAGAACACATCACCTCAGCCTCTTGTCCCCGGGAAAAGCTTTGTCGTAGCGAAGCCCCGACTCTTCCCAGGTGCTGGGTGTAGGATTTGAGGGCACCTGAAGCGGCTGCTTCTGTTGCTGTTTCTGGGGACTGGCCACATCTGCCGCCTTCCGGGGCTGCTTCCCAGGACCGGGCTCCCGTTCTACAACCTGGCCGGATGGAAACACTACTTTCACTGGGCTCCTCCGCAGTGCCCGGACCCAGCGTCTAGCGTTGACGTTGCAAGTCTGGACCACTGGCAACAGTGGTCGCATGGCACATCCCACGCCCTTTACTAGCGCCGCCATCTTCCCCTGTGTTGTGGGCTACGTCATGTGAACGCGCCGGCGGCGCGCAGTGACATCACCGGCCTGGCTGAGTCATTTGCGAGTGGTGCGGTATTGTACGCGTGACGGAGCCCGCGGTAGTGGGAGTCATGGTTTCTCGCCGGGCGCTGCACTTCGTATTCAAAGTGGGAAACCGCTTCCAGACGACGCATTTCTTTCGTGATGTCCTTGGGATGAAGGTGCGGACAGGGGCCAAGAAGGGGCTGGCGCGCAAGGGGGAACTGGCAGCTGAGCCGCGACTGTCTGAGAGAGCGGATAAATGGGTGTGTCGTGAACCCCAGTGAGAGTGTAGCGGAACTCAAACACAGGATTCCCCACTGGCCCTCTCGGATTTTCAGCCTCAGGAAGTGTTGCGAGTCGCTGGTTGGGTCAGATGACCTTTGAAAGTGGGCTAACCCTTATTAGGCGCCAACTATGTGCCCACACATGTTCTTTCATTTAATTAGATTCACAAATATGTATTGAGCTCCTGCCCGAGTGGAGTTTACAGTCTAGTGGGAAAGACAGTAGACAAAAAGTTAAATAATACTCTTCCAAGTTTGGAGCCTTTTGGTTTAGAAATCCACATATTCAAAGTTCAGCTTCTATCAGGGCTGGTTTGAAGGGTCTCCTTTGTATGACTCGGTCTCGCTGGGTGAAAGCTCAGACTCTCTTCTCAAAAATCCAGATCTAAGCACGAGGTCAGAACCTATTCCCCCCCGCCGCCAACCGCCACCATCCCAAAGCGGCCTGTCTCCGGCCCTGAGAAGCTGTGACTCTGCAGGGGTCACTGGGCTGGAAAACGCAGGTGAAATCTTCTGGGGAGTCCCTGGTCAGCCGGGAGGTAAGGAACACGCCAGTAAAGGAAGGCTTTAGAGGTGCAGGAGTGCACGTTAGTTTAGAAGATATGGAGTTAGCCGAATTCATCGATCTTGGTAACTAGGTGAAAATAACTTTGATAGCTGTCCTCAGTGAGGTCTCATGGTCTGGGATGAAATGAGTATGGGGTTGGATTTGTACATAACTAACAATAATGGAAGGCAGAATCTGATAAATGATACTTGAAAACCACAAAGTGCTCCCTTACTGTGTATCCTCATTGTTCAAAGGGTTATTGTGAAGATTAAACAAGTTGTTATGTGTAAAGTGCTTGCGAAGTCAGTATTTGACACATGTTATGTGTTATATGGGAGTCCCTGGGTGGCACGAACGGTGAAGAGCTCAGCTACTAACCAAAGGTTGGTGGTTCGAATCCACCCAGAGAAGCCCCAGAAGAAAGCCTGGTGATCTACTTTCCAAAGATCATAGCCATTGGAAACCCTGTGAAGTGCAGTTCTACTCTGAAACACATGTGGTCATGAGTCACAATCTACTTGAAGAAACTTTTTTTTAAAATGTGTTATATAAGTGTCATATAATGTGTTATGTTATAAAAACACAACAGGAGAGATTTAGAAATCTGCGTATTCAGAGTTCTGCTTCTGCCAGGACTGGTTTGAAAGGTCTCTTTTGGATGACCTGGAGAGTCAGGAAATAATTCACAGAGACCTTGCCTTCCAGTTGGAGCTCTGAAAATAGGTAGGATTTCCACAAACCAAGATTAGAGGGAGAAGTTAGACAAGAAAAACTGAATAGCCAGTGCAAAGATAAGGCATGTTTGGGAAACACCACTAGTTTTATATATAGTTGAAGTTAAGGAGGTGGAATTATCAGGACAAGTAGGTTAAGACTAGTTCTAATGGTATCTTGAATGCTATGCAAAGGAGTTTGAATTTTATGCCATAGTACTGAGCTCTCTTACATTTTCAAGTAGGGCAGTGATATAGTCAGAGCTGTGTTTTGGGGACATAATTTTATGGTGGTATTAAAGAAGGAGATCAGTAAAGATGATTTTTAATGGTGTATGAGAGAGATGATGGGAGCTTGAACTGGAGCAGTAGCTGAAGGAATCAAAAGGGAAGACAAACTAACACACTGAGAGCCCTACTGTATACTAGGTTCTGTGTTAGATGCTTTAATAAGTTATCCATTTTCACAACATATTAGGAGACTGAGACTCAGATCGTAAGCAGCTTACTCAGGGTTACACAGCTACTAAATGACAGCCAGAATTCCAAATCAGATTTCTCTGATGCTGAAGGCCACACTTTACCTACTATACAGCACTGCTTTCCAGTCTAAATAGATTTTACAACTTGCTTGGTTGCCTGACCCTTTGTGTCAAGCTGTTCTTCCTTGTCTGTATTGCTTCTAGCCTGCGAAAGGTATAAAGCTCAATTTCTTTTGGTTTGTTTATTTTATAAGCAAAGCTTACAATGATGATATCTGTGTTTTTACATTTTAGTTTATACTGAACAGCTGTGTGCAATACTAGTAAAACTGTACAATTTATTCTAATTCTCTTTCCAGATTTTGCGGCATGAGGAATTTGAAGAAGGCTGCAAAGCTTCCTGTAATGGGTATGACACCTTGTTTCTTAAAATCCCCTTTAGACTATGAATAGCTCTGGAGAATCAGAAGGCAGTTTCTCAAAGTGAGTATAAGGCAGTGGAATCCTGTGGAGCAATAAATTAGGGAGGCAACTTCAAGAACACAAGTATATGCTGTGGATGAAACAGTGTCTATCAAATGTGTCTTAAGCTTAGTAGCCATGGCAAGCTGGCAAATTCCAAGGGAATTGCATGCTTGTTGATGGATATGCCAAAAAAATAAACTAAGGTCGTACTGGAGAACTGTCTTTATAGGATTTTTGTCCCCTGCTTTAAAGAAAAAGTAAATGAAACTTTCCGTGGAGTAAGTTCCCTCAGGTGGTCTTTGAAGCTTGTAGTGAGGGAGCCTACAAGCACTAAGAGGAAGCACTATCCACAGCTGCTCTCAGCACCATTGGGGTCATCTCATCCTTAATAGGGACTTAGAGGACCAGGGGGAGGGCTGCCTATTTCTGTGCCCAGTAGTCATTTGGGGGAAGCCTGAGGCAAATTTTGCCTGTGCTCACAGGTTTCATTTACGGTACTTTCATTTTTCTAGGCCTTATGATGGGAAATGGAGTAAAACAATGGTGGGATTTGGGCCCGAGGATGATCATTTTGTTGCAGAATTGACTTACAATTATGGCATCGGAGACTACAAACTTGGCAGTGACTTCATGGTAACTATCATTTTGTTCTAGCAGATTTTTGAGTGTACCTTCTGTTGAGATCACAGGTATAGCTTTAGGTGTGATGACTATTGAATTGATGGCATTTGGGTGCAGTTTAGTGACTGTTTTTATAATGTTTTCTGTTAGAAAAAAAAAGGACTGCTAGGCATCCCTGGCTGCTGGGCATCCCTGGCTCAGAACTGGCTTCAGGGTGAAATGTCTTCTCCCAATGTTTGGAATCAAGCATTAGCCTCGGAGACAGCTTTGAAGGAGATGAGATTCCTCTTGGGGAATGACTGAACTCCGGGGCGAGGGAGGGAGGCCAGAGATGTTGGTCTGGTCAGGTGCTGATCACCATCCGGAGAATATTTTCTCTCTAGTGGACTGTTATGGGTTGCCTGGGCTGGGCTGTTATGACCAGTCCCATTCAGAGAAAAATCTGAGAAGGTCTTAAGGATAAAGGGTAGTTGAAGGCGTTATATGCACTGCATTCATTCATTAAAAAGTTATTGTACATCTATAATAATAATATCATTTATTGACCAGTTACTGTGTGCTAGGTATAATGTCACCAGGCCCAAGCACTTAGCAAGATAGAAATAACTAATTTTTACTTAGAATCTACTGAGTAAAATCTACCTCATGCTAGATGTGTTATTTGGGGTCATTTGGACCTCGCTATTCCTGTTACCTCATCTATGAAATAATAATGACTTCTATCTGGAAATGCTCTAATTTCGCCATCCTATTTGAGAGACAGTTTTGCTGAATATGTAATTCTTGGCTGGCAATTTTTTCCTTCAAGGCTTTATATATGTCGTCCCATTGCCTTCTTGCCTGCATGGTTTCTGCTGAATAGTCAGAGCTTCGTCTTCTTGACTTTCCTTTGTAGATGACTTCTTTTTTATCCCTAGCTGCTCTTAAAATTCTCTCTTTATCTTTGGTTTTGCCAAGTTTGATTATAATATGTCTCGGTGACTTTCTTTTGGGATCTATCCTGTGTGGGTTTCATTGAGCTTCTTGGATATCTTCTCATCTTTCATGATAGCAGGAAAGTTTTCTGCCAACAAGTCTTCAACAGTTCTCTTGTGTTTTCTGTTATCCCCTCCTGTGCTTGTATTCCAGTCACTTGTAGGTTATTCTTCTTGATAGAGTCCCACATAATTCTTATGGTTTCTTCATTTTTTAAATTCATTTATCTGATTTTTCCTCAAATAAATTGGTGTCACGTGCTTTATGTGCAGTCTCACTAATTCTGACTGCCATTGCCTCAATTCTGCTCCTCTGACTTTCTATTGAGTTGTCTAATTCTGAAATTTTATTGTTAATCTTCTGGATTTCTGATTGCTGTCTCTATGGATTTTTGCAGCCTGTTAAATTTGTCATTTTGCTTGTGTATAACCTTCTGAAGTTCCTTTGTTGCTTTGTCTGTTTGTTCCTTAGCTTGGTGTTCATTTTGTTTGATCTACTTCCTGATCTCTTGAAGAGCTCTGTATATTAATCTTTTGAATTCTACATCCGGTAATTCGAGACCTTTTCTTCCTCCGGGAGGTTTCCTGGTTCTTTGTTTTGGTTGCTTACTGAAGCCATCATGGTCTGCTGCTTTATG